ATTACTTTTAATATATAGTAGAAATTTTGCACATCCAGTAATAAAATGTCACAGGGGATGGTATGGGGGCATGGTCATTTAAAAAGGGGGATGCCATCCCCCCTCATCCGCCCTCAACTCGAGTACTGTATATAATGATTAATGGCAGAGCGCTGTAATGATTTAAATAGTTACAGACAAACACAACACAAGCCCTGGAAGGTTCTTTATTTTAAGCTGAAAGCTTTAAGAGGTGAACCTACACCCAGTGTTCAAATATGTTTGCAGAACTTAATACCTTTTCCACCTAAACTACTCTTCATTCAGCCTAAATTATCCTCTGCTCAAATAACTCTGACCAGCTGCCTTGTTTTTGTTCTCAAAAAACATCCCAACAGCATGATGCTGCCCAATCCATGTTTCACCTTGGCAATTATGTGTTAAATCTTCCTTTTATGGCACACAAAGCACTTCATATACAGACCAGAAAGAGTAGTTGGGTTTTATCTGACCTGACAACCTTTTCATACATTTGCTATACCTTCTACAACGTAAAAACTAAAATGATTATCTTTTTAAATATTATTCTTTACCACTCTCCCATATGGATGTGTGCTGTAAGTATTATCAAAACAACCTTTGGGAACTTCAGGTAAACATCTTTATTTTTCTGACAGTAAATACCGCAGAGATAACCATACTAACTTCATGGCTGAATCCTAAATGGAATTAATTGTCCTGGATAATATGCAAGCAACCCAAAGTAAAGATGCAAAATACAAATATATGTAATATTTACCTTCCGCAAACAGTTTTGCATTAGTCTTTCATACAGAAACCCCTCAAAACATTCTCAGGTTTTTAGTAGAACCAGTTATTATCAATTTAACCAAGGCACTGTACATTTCTACTCATTGTGTTTTTACATTTATATATACCTCTTTTATACTATACTGTGTTTCAAGAATCTTTGCAACATAAAACTGTCAGAGACAGTAATAGCATAAATCTGACCTTCTAAACGTACATGAAGCTTTAAGATATCCATGATCCTTCTGAAATAGTCAAATTTTAGACTTCTATTTGGCATGTTTGTTTCATTCTACCTGTCCAGCTCCTGGCAATGATAGGTGTAGTCCACTCACTCCAGTGACCGTCATATTCCTCTTTACTCCTGAGCTGAATCAGGTAGTCAGTACCAGGTAGAGCATCAGTGATGGTGTAATGCCGCTCTTTGATATCATTTTTCTGTGAAGACACATAAAACAAGACCTCAGTCAACTGAAACAACCTAGATTACACAGCATGACATTCATGACTCAACTATTCACCAATCAACAGTACCTGTTCATGTGAGGAGATAAGTGGTCTGTATCTGATCTCATAGATTATGTCATAATATTCATCTGGGTACTTTGGCTGATTCCAGGACTCTGGTAAGTTCCAGGTTACCTTTATCATCCTCTCTACCTTCTCCACCAGGTGGGCTGTCACCTTGGACGGAGGGTTTGGCTTCACTAGGGTAGCAG